TATTAAAAAATACAGATCAACATCGATTTTTGTGTGTCACTTGGTATTTTGAATGCACCACTGGTTCAAATTAGATGTTTGTGATGTCAAAATACTAAGTCTATAGTTTCCTATAAATTAGGAACTCAAATTACCAATATTGACAAGCTAGAATATCAAATAAAGAGTCTCTTATCTTTTCAATTTGCTAAGATATGGCTCGTGTAACTAAAACACAGCCAAGACAAGTTACTTTGCACAAACCAAATGTGTCTTAAGAAAAAACTTTATATCTTATCTGTTATTTTCAGTAATTAATCTTTGTACGGCATCAGTAGATTTCACCGATCTCGCAACCACCATAAAAAATTAGGAAATAAATATAAATTATGCCTCTTTTATTCTAGAATGACAAAAATTATAACACGAAAACATAAATGTTTAGACTAAATAGTTTAAATCTCATGACATTATACATTTATATATATTTAATATTTTTATTATATTGACTTTTCAGCCATGCTTGGCTAAAATACAGAAGTTACAAAAAAAGGCATGAGAAAGATATTGTTTAACAAACATTAAGACTTAATAAAAAAATTTGAAATTTTGCATATGAAAGCATTGTAATGTTTACTGATAATCTGTCAAAATTTGTAAACATACACTTATTAATTTAAAAGTTATAGCATGAAAACTATAACAAGCATAGAATGGTTACAAGGTCGGTCCCAGGGACCAAGCCTGAGCTGAAAGAGTTAAATGAAGATGCTTCATTCTATGTTCATAAACTTCTTTTTGATTTGTATTTATTGATAAGGTTATTAAAATGTTTTTTAAGCAAAATATTAAAAAATGTCATGTAATAGTTTAATATTTGACCAACAACTTGTAACTTATAGTCACTATTATTTATTGTATTAATAATTTATTTAAGAAAGAAAAATGTGAAGCTGAGTAATGTTCCATTTTTGCTTAAGTGTCATATGGAATATTTCATTGTTTTAAAAAAGAAGCTTTTATAAATAACTGTGTCAGGTTAGTTTGTTTGTCATCTTGTTCAGCTGGAATCATTCTAATATTAAATGTACAAGATGTTTATCAATGGTCAAATCTCTTGAAACAAAATAAAAAAAATACTTTATGGTGGTTGGAAATAGCTTAACTTTAAGGTCCATAGCTTGTAATTAAATATATATATATATATATATCCAGAGTATTGAACAACTAATCATGAGAAAAAAAACACCCAGAGTAAGGACTAACTTATCATAGAAAGAAACAAAAATCCAGAATACTGAATAAATTATTGTGAACTAAAAAAGCATTGAGAATACTGAATAACTTATCACAGAAGCAAAACAACAACATCCAAAATATTTATAATGAAAGAAAAAATAATACAAAGCATAATCATATGAAAAGGCAAAATAGAAAAAAATAATTCAAGCTTTTTGAGAAACTTGAGTTCTTTCTGCAACTGTTTATTATTAGGTGATTATAACCAGTGGCATCAATACTAAGACACAAACTGAAATGAACACAACAGTGTAATATAAGTATTAAGACAAGGTGAAAGAAGTGAATTAAATGTTTTAAGTCCATTATTCTTTTTGCCAACCTTAAAAAAAGGGATCTTTCAGTTTTGAAGCTTGAAATATTGACTAACTAGTTTAGGGTACTTCTATTAGACATATGCTGAATGCTTGTTAATTCATGATTTAATATTACTGCAAGTTTTGCTAATGTATTGTAGGTTTTATAACTTTTTGGATGTAATTACTTAGAGACTTGAGAATTATTACTGTACCAATTAAAATTGGTGTTTCACACTGTTCTGTTTAGAATAAGTATTATTAGGTAGAAATGCCAACAATTGGTCTTTACTTATAGAAAGATGTTAAACATCAACAATGCACAGTAGTTGTCCTGTCTTACAGAAAGATGTTAAACATCAACAATGCACAGTAGTTGGCCTGTATTATAGAAAGATGTTAAACATTAACAATGCACAGTAGTTGGTCTTTACTTATAGAAAGATGTTAAACATTAACAATGCACAGTAGTTGGTCTTTACTTATAAAAAGATGTTGAACTTTAGTCAGTGCTGTCAAAATGCTAAGAGGGCAAGACCTGGCTATTTTTGCAAAGCAACTATTAGATTTATAGAATTGATAACCTCATCCCTAATTTTGACTTAAATACAATCTTACCAGCTCGTTTGTGACATAAACCAGCGTTAGTATCAGTTTTTGCACTTACTATTTGTAAACATACTCACAGGATATTGATCGATTCATTTATCTCCCTTTAGTGTTACTGTTATTCTTGATTATGAAATTAATTTTAAATTATTTTTTTGTGCAGGTTGTGAAAATGTTTGTTTTTAATGAAATCTTAAAAGAAGTTTGAAGGGTTCTTGGTGACTTTCTGAAATATTTGAAATTATCAAAATACTAAACACTACTTGCAAAGAAACAAGATGTATTTCATTAAATTTTCAATTCAGCCTGCAATTATACTAATGTGTAATTATAAATAGGATTTCTGATTTTTTTCTTACCTGAATGTTCTAATACTAGGATAACAAAATGCAGTTTAGTCCATGTAAAATAGTAAATAAGTGTGATTCCCATAAAAGTTGTATATCCAGATCCCCTTCAAAAAATGTAGATTTTCCATTACCGACTACTTGCATTGAATATTCTACAACAGCAGCAAAAAGTGTGTGCATGTATAGACCCAGATCTAATTATTTTGTTTTGAATAAAATGTACACATTAGATTCTATCTTACACAGATCAAATAAGTCTTCATTATGATAAATGAAATGGGACCAAGCTTGCTCTTTTATTAAAATTATTTTGGCTTATGCAACTCTTTAAATGGTTTAGTTAAGGTGATGGTGTAATGGGCTTACACGCCTAGGGAATGATTTGCTCCAATTTTCCTTTCATTAGCCTAAACATGCTACACAGTATTTCATGTGGCCATTTTATTATAATTTCTAGTATCATATGTATGGAAAATATAGAAAAGAACCACATGAGCTTAATTTGAAACAAGTTTTTAAGTTAATATTGCTCCAAAGACAATATTTAGCTGTCCTGAAATACTTAAAATTCAATTTTGGTTGACCAATATTGGATAGGAACCCCAGACCCCTCCTTCTACTTTAGATAATAATGACAGCACTTTTCAGTGATAGATAGTTGACTTGTCAATAAAATTTTGAATGCAAGTTAACAAATGCGATGACATGGCCTTTGATACATGAACTGTTATGATAGGGTTAATAAGAAGCTAAAGTTAAATATATTCTGTGTTCTAAAGGCACATAAGACATGCTTAACTCCAGATTTTTGTAGCACAAAGAAATTAAGATGTTTTCACATTCCCCCTGGATGGAATGTCAGTCCATCGTAGCTGGTCCCACAGTAGCTGAGTAGTAAGTATAAGGACCTATAATGCTAAATATTGGGTTTTGATACCCATGTGATTAGAGCATGTATAGCCCATTATATAGCCTTGCGCTTGACAACAAACAAACCATCACAGGTTAACCCTCGGCAATCAGCCCATTTTACAGTCAGGTAAATGGAAACAAATATGAGGTAAAGTCTGTTTCTCAACGAACAATGACTAGGTATGAATAAGTATTAAACCAACAACGTTTCTACTAAAGTCACAGCATTAATTCATTAAGTTATGCAGTTCCATTACTTAGTTGTATGTTAAACACATTAATACAAAGCTGTTGCATGCAAATACCTATCATATTAAATGTGAATTAACATAGAATTATTTTATTAAGTACACATTTATGTAGTTTTGGTGCTATTAAAGTATACTGTTATTATCACTGTCTAATAAGAACATGGTCTTGATTTTATTCCATTCTTAAAGTTCTTTTTTTGTAATAATACTAACTTAGGAAACTATATTGCTGAATTTTATTCTCTGACTAGGGAACATAATCACAGGAAAAAAAGTGAAGGTGATATCTGGTGGCAGGAAAGGGACAGATGATCGTCATGTTGGACACACAGCTCACGTGCTCTGTTTAGCTATTTCCTCAGATACAAAATTTCTGGTAAATCTATAATATTCATACTTTAACTTTCTAATACACATTTTCTTTTCTTTTATTAGCTTTGAAATATTTTTACTTGTGTAAGAATCAGTGTTATGTCGGAGAGTTTAGTGATGTTTTCTTAATCTTTGTAAAAAAGATATTAAGAGTTGGAGAAATTAATGGTGCTTAAAGTTTTTTTGTGTATTAAGTAAGAAAAGTGTGAAAGATTAATGATGTTTATCTATTTCTTTATCTTTGAACTAGAGTCTCATGTTAAAAATATTAATGTTTTTTATCTATTTTTTGTGTATGAATTAAAGATTTAGAAAGAGTGATGATGTTTATGTCTGAACTCAAGAATGTCAGAAAGATAATGATGTTTATCAGGTTTTTATGTGTGAATAAAAAATGCTAGAAAGATTAGTGCTGTTTATTTGTTTCTTTTTGTTTGAACTAAAGAATGTCAAAACATAATTATATTTATCTGTTTCTTTGTGTGCAAAATATAGAATGTCAGTAGATATTGATGTTTATCTTTTTGTTTATGAACTAAAGAATGTTAGAAAGATATTGATGTTTGTTTCTTTCTGTGTGAACTAAAAATGTTAGTAAGATTAGTGCTGTTTTTTCTTTTTGTATGAACTAAAGAATGTTAGAAAAATAATTATGTTTATCTGTTTCTTTGTGTGCAAACTGTAGACTGCGAGAAATTTGTTACAGTTAAATGTTTTTCATATACAGTAAGACCCTGCTTAGCACCACCCCACTTTAAGCTGATTTGTTATAGAGCTCTTGTCTCCTTGAGCAATTTTTTTTTTCACAACAGAAAAAAATTTATGAAAATCCATAACTCTTTGAACACTACTTTTTCATCCTGATGGTATCAGTGCACTAAATAATTTTTATTTAATAAAATAATACAACAATGAACGTAGAATAATAACATGGAAAAGTAGACAATGTCCGGTAAATATCACAATTTTTCTGGCATTTTTTGTGATGCAGTATGAGCTGTTAAAACATCATCCATCTACACAATATCATTTTCGTGGGAAAAAAACATTTTCTTTGGAAGCAATCTGTAAATCTCTGTACAGAAAACAATGTAATATAATACATCATTTGATAGATGAAAACCTTGCCTGTCTATTGGTTATAGCTAATATAGTTGTAAATGTAAGAAAGAATGTGATAGGTAGACGTGGAAGGAGGGGTCTGATTTTCTATTTGATGGCTCTGTACACATAGAAGATTGAAGGATAATAAAAATGTGCATTTTTTCAGTGATGACAATATTATAGTGAGTAATTTACATTAAATTTACCAGTACCTAAATAATAAAGCATATATACGTCATTCACAAGTAAGAAACAATGCTAGAAATTTCTTCTCAGGAACCTTTCCTGAGTGCTAAATGGGGTATTACTGTATTAAACAAAACTGAATTTTTTGAAATTTAAAAACCATGATTTACTTAAAGTTAATTCAAACTTCTCATTCATTTAAATTTTTTTTCTGTTTTTCTGAGTTTTCTTGTGTTACCGAAATATCTTAAACATTTGTATTAATGCATATTTTTGTCTCAATATAAGTAGAATTATTCAAATAACTTTTTTCTGGTTTTTGAAAAATGATGCTTAGAATCGTAATGTTGAGTTTCAGTAACTATCATAAAGAGAAAATATTGTTATGTTTCTCTGTGTTCATTTTATAATAATTAATATACTCTTTCCAAATTCCCTTTTTAAAATGGTGGATTACAAAAAAACTATTGTCAATTGCAGTTTTTCATACTTTCCAAAGACAAACTTAAGAAAATAATCTCACTGATATTAACTCATTGTTTTTGTATGCATAAAACTGAAATATCTAAGCAATTATTATTATTATCTAAAGAAAAGTGTTCATTATAATTTCTGAAAAAGCCGTAGTTTGATTCATGAATTTTTCCCAACTTTTAGGATACTGAACCAGAGTTCTTTTAACCCTATACATACCACAGAGCACCTTTCCAGTGTTGATTGGATACCTGCATATTAAGTTTCAAAATTTGAAGTAAAAATTAATAAATGTAGCTATTTTAACAATTTTGAACCGAAAAATGTTGTATAATTTATGCTTTATGATATTCTAATGTAATTTAAAAATATACATAAACTCTCATTTTTACAGCTCTAATAAGGTTGCCTGTGAACAATGCTTTTATCAATACTTTAGAATTTTTCTGCCCATTTCAAAGCATAAGTTTATACTTGTTAAGGAACTATCATCCCATGAGAACATGATTATCAATGTTTTGTTTGTTATGTTATTTTCCTTATTTTTTTTTCACTACTTTTATTACTACAGACTTTCATTTTCATTTTTTATTACCTCACACTTATGGTATGTGATCTGAACCAGCATTTTTCAGCCTTTTTATTAACATGGACCACCTAAACTTCAAGAAAGTTTTCCTGTGGCCCAATGCAGAAAATTCTAAAAGAGTGACATGTCTGACAGTGTTGTTTCATAGTTGCCATGTTGGGTTCATGCATGTGACATAAGTTTATAGTTAGCATTTTGCGAGGTATTGTGCAATTTGCATTCTACTTTTGCTGTTTTGTAACATTTTTAAAAATATTGTCATCTAATAGTTTAAATATCATTGGTTAGATAAGGTAATAATAATAGTTACATCAGTGTAGAGTGAATAATATGGTATGAAAAGTAATTTATGGTTTCATGGGAAAGTGACTAGATGGAACTTCTGCTGAGAAGAACAATGGAATCTAATGGGAAGCTTAGAAAACTTTGGAACAGACCATAGATTGGGAATACTTTATAGCTTACTCAGACTTGTTTTTCATTCCTGAAAATGTTTTCATTTAAAAATACATTTAATTAAAACATACAGAAATTTTCATCCATGAAAAGACATCAAGTAAGCTTAGTTAGGTTTAGCGAGTACAGTAGACAATGATAAAGTGTTCCAGTGACTCAAATCCTTATTTATTGAATATTATTGTAAGTTTATCTTATTAAAATTGCACATATAAATAAAAGAATGCATTGCTTATTGAAAAGAAACTATATATATATATATATTAAATATAATGATGTTGACTAAGAATATTGTTACCTAGCCTAACCTCATACCATTTTGGAAGGTCAGGACTGAGGTCACCTATAAATATTTGTCAGTTATTGCCATGTTTTTGATGATTTATGCCCAGAAATGGAGATTACTGCAATCAGCAAAGAAATATGTTAATAAATATCATTCACGTTCAAACTGACTGGATATATAAAAAGTAACTTTCTGATGAGCAATAGATTATTGAAATTCGAAGATGAAAGGTAGTATTTTTAATGGTTTTTTAAAACAATGTCTCATAACAAAATTTTGAAATCTTATGACAAATGAACAATAAAATAATATGAGTCTTTTTAAGCCAAGTTTGCTTTGACATTACAGGCGTCTGGCTGCCAAAACAAAATAATTCATATCTGGAACCCTGAAACCATGGAACTAATTCATACATTTAAAGGTCATCGAGATGCAGTCTCAGTAAGTTGTGTAGTTTTGGTTCTTCATTTTTAAACCTGTACATATTTTTTATAGATTTTGTCATCAGTGCTATTAATTCCTTGTTCGTGTGGTTTTATAAACAGTAACATACAGCTAGTGAGAAATTATTGTATGAACTAAATAATGTCAGAAAGATTAATGCTGTTTATCTCTTTAATGGTGTGTAAACTAAAGAATGTTAGGAAGATGAATGATGTTTATCTGTTTCTTTTTGGATGAACTAAATAATATCAAAAAACATGATGTTTATTTCTTTTTTGTATGTAATAAAGAATATCAGAAATGGAATGTTGTTTATCTGTTTCTTTTTGTATGAACTAAAGAATGTTAAAAATTTGTTAGCAGTCTAATGCTTTTCAAAATGAAGAAATGTTTCAATCTGATTAACTATTAAACCAAACTGAATTGTTTGAAATTTAGCTATTGTGATCAACTTAAGTTTGATGCTTAATTCATTTTATGGACTCTATTCCAAATGCTACGTTATAAAAAAGAAAAAACGATCCCATTGTCAGTTATCATATTCCATGCTTTCTGACGATACAAGTTTGAAAAGAAAATAATAATCTCACTGACATTAACTCTTAAATTTATTTTTTTTGTAAGAAAAACTAAACTATCTAAAAAAATAGCATGCATTATAATGTCTTAAAAACAATAGTTTGATTCATGAATTTTTTCTTTCCAAGAAGCCTTTCAGAAAATATTCTGTTAAAGCTATTCTGTAATCTTACTTTGGATTATCGTAATTATAAAAGTATTAATTTAATTTAATTTTAAAAATTAGTTATCAGCTATAGTTTTTCATGCTTTGAAAAGACACATTTCAGAAAATTATTTCTCTTGTATTAAATCTTAAATTTACTTTGTTTTGTGAAGAAAACTGAACATTATTAATATCAAAAAATAGTATTCATTATAATTCTTTAATGCTGATTATTTTCAGGGTCATTCTTTCTAAAACCAGTTAAAAATGTGTTTACTTTCAGGGTCTTACTTTTCGTAAAGGTAGTCATCAGCTTTTCAGTGGTTCACGAGACAGATCAGTGAAGGTGTGGAACTTGGATGAAATGGCATATGTAGAAACTTTGTGAGTGATCTCAGAGGTGTTACTTATATGTTCACATTCTGTAAATTATATCTGTTTGTAATTTATTTCAGTTGTATAGTACATTATATCAAATTGTTGTCTTTCTAAAGTTACAAATTCTAGTGACCAATAAAGTTCTTCCACTATCTACAGTTATTTATATAACTACCCCAAAGGGTTGTCCTTGTCTGAAAAAAACATAAGGATACCTGCCCATGGTAACCTAAATGAGCATGTGTGCCAAGTTTAATCTCACTAGGGGAGAGCCAGGAATACCAAATCTAATACTAGATTTGAGTTCAGTAATCCTACAATCTTAATCCTAAACCTCCTTCGTACTTGTGAAATCTTTATAATGTCCAGATAGTTATCAAACTTTTCTTAAGAAAAAACTTTTTATTTTATCTGTTATTTTCAGTAACGATTCTCTGTACGGGTTTAGTTGATTTAACTGATTTCGTAACCACCATAAAAAATTAGGAAATATATATAAATTATGCCTCTCAAATTATAGCACAAAAACATAAATGTTTAGACTAAATAGCTTAAATTTTATAACATTATACATTTATATATATTTATATATTATTTTTATTATACTGACCTTTCAGCCGTGCTTGGCTAACAATACAGAAGTTACAATGACGTGGCTCACGTGCACTCATGTTACTGTATCAAATAATATAAAACTGATATTTGGTTTGTACAAAGTAACTTGTCTTGGCTGTGTTTTAGTTACATGAGCAATATCTTAGCAAATTGAAAAGATAAGAGACTCTTATTTGTTATTCTAGCTTGTCCATATCGTTAATTTGAGTTCCTAATTCATATGAAACTATAGACTTAGTATTTTGACATCACAAACATCTAATTTAAACCAGTGCTGCACTCACAATACCAAGTGACACACAAAAATCGATGTTTATCTGTATTTTTTAATATTTGCTTTTAAATTAAGAAACTGAGTAATATATAGTACTAAAATTTGAATTATAATCTACAGTTTGATACCAAACTTATTGACATAAATTCATGAAATAGTAGTTCAATAAAATTTTGAATGCGAGTCAACAAATGCAATGACATGCCTTTCACCCGTGACCCTTATGGAAAGGGTTAACAGTTGTATCAAATTCTTATTCCACAACTGATAATGGTTTATGTTTATTATCATCCATAGATTTGTCACATTGACTTACATTAGTTTTTAATTTATTTACATTAGCAGCATTTCTTATATGTTGTAGATTTGGTCATCAGGATGGCATAACAGCTATTGACAGTTTAACACGAGAGAGAGCCATTACTTCAGGTGGTCGAGACAGCACCATAAGAATCTGGAAAATAGTAGAGGAGTCCCAGCTGGTGTTTCAAGGCCACAGGTTAGTGATAGTGTAAGATGGTCAGGTCTAGTGATGTATGTGTGCTTATTGCTAACCTTACACTTAAGGCTACAGATTAGTGTTGAATGTTGTAAGTAGTGAAAATATAATAATATGTGTGTACTTTCTGGTAACACAACACATAAAGGTACAGTTTAGTGATGGGTGGTGTTAATGGTGGAAATTAAATGATGTGTTTGTGCTTTGTGGTAACCCAACTTTGGAGTATAGATTAACTCTCTTGATGTGAGTAGATAAAATTACAGATAAAATTTCTTTTTACAGAGTAACATTCAAAATTTAAATAAACTAGTTTATTATCAATGTCTGTGAATAAACTTGGCATCAAAACATAGTTAATAAATCAAACTCTAATATTATGTAAGATATAATTTCTTAATTTCAAAAGGAAATATTTAAATACATTCTCAAGCTCCATTTGTCTGTATCATGGCATTTATTTGCTCTGATTTGTCCATTTTATATTTTTTCATCACCCTTATATAATATCTTGAGTACATAAATTACACATTTATAGTATTAAATTACTAAGGCATAGTCTAATTTTAATAGCTTCCATTCTTCTTTGTTTACAAGGTATAAACCAAAAAGTCAAACCCACTTCCCTTCTCTTGCATCCTTTTACAAAATGTCAGTAATTCTCTTTGATGTTTGCTATTACATACTTTATGGCCAATTGAAAGACTGTTTTAATTTACCAGATGATGTATAATGTTAGCTTGTTCTCATGATAGCTTTTGAATTATTTGGCTATTAGATTCGAAGTTGCTATTGCTGAGGTCAGATTGACCAACTAAGGGAATTATTTTAAGACACATACTTTAGTTAGAAAACCAGTTAAATTATAATACTTATAGGACATTGTTGTTTTGTGCATGTTATTATTTTGTGTTCTTAATTGCACATTTGAAATAAAAAGTATTTTATGTATTACTACTATTATTACAAGAGAATAAGGTTAAGTTTTAATGGCGACTGACATAAATAAAACAATAGACCAAAAGTAAGTTATAAAATTGTTTTTATTTTCATTAGAAACTTATTAGATTGGATAAAGTTAGATAATGAAAAAATAATATTAACAAATTTCTCCATGAAGTATGCCCACGAGAAGCTTGTACATTATGTAATTCAATATTATAACTTGAGATATGCATCTGCCATATGATTAAAGCCTGTATTGTGGGATTGATAGTTAGACACAGTTCAAAGAGCAATGAATTAACAAAATAAAATAATAACGGGTGTAACCTGTTATGAACCTTATGCTGTTTAGGATAAATTATTGTAATTTTCTGAGAGGATACCATACTTCTGCACACAGTTTAGCTATTGTCCGTACGTGTCTGCCTTAGAGATTTGCATGCCACTAGCCTTTAGTGAACTCCAACATAACCTAATGAGATTTCTCATGAATTGTGCTACTGCATAATAATGTCACCATGCAGCAAATGCCCTCCACTAATAGGAGGGCAACACACCTCCATGCACAATAACTCCTCCTATGCATTTGCACTCGAGAAATTCACTCTTTTTCCCCAACACTGTATTGAACAAATGTGTGTAAATTTTCTGTTTTGTGTTCAATTTTATGAGCTTTGCATCATTAAGGAAACTTTGATTTTTGTTTTCTTTAGCTTTTGATTCAAAAGCTTTAATTTTCATCATGAATTCTCAAAAGATGGTGATTTATATTTGGTTCCCTCCTACACATTATTTTGTCTATGGCTCTGGAGACTCGTTAATTGTCAGGATCATTGCAGCCATTTTTCAACATGTTGGGGATCACCACATGCTTAATGGGCCTCTTATTCCCATCCTGTCAGCCAAATTTCTTTCTCAACAGTTGGGAGTGATCTATTGGACTATGTCCTTCACCTGACTTGCTTTGGGTAGTAATTTACCATTCATGAGATAACCTTAATATTTCAATCTCTTTCTGGATTTCAGTCTCAGGTTTGTTCCTTTCCTTATTTTTTGCCTGTGTTCATTATTATTATCTTCATTTTCTCACTTTATCTTGTCTCTTCTCCCAGCTTTATTAGGGTTTATGATCTTTTCTTTCTCTAACAGCTCTCTTCTCACACCCAAATGCCTCATCCCCCACATGTGCATAACTCATTTTGTCCCGATTTGTAATCTTACTCTCCTTTTCTCAGTTTCATGTCTTTGGTATCTATCTGGCCAGCTAGGGAAATTGTGCCCCTTACCTTCTCTTTCACTTCTGATTCCCCATCTTCACGTTTTTGTCGTTTTCTTTCTACCCTTTTGTATACCCTCTTCCAATTCACCCTTTTATGTGAGGCACTTTTTCATGTTTGTGGTGGCTTCTGTGGGCATTTGTTCTCTTCTCTGTCTCACTTCTTCTGCTTTATCTCTCTGTGCTTTGTTCCCCTACTGTTGGGCCAGGTTATTTTCCACTTTTCTGTACTCCTTCCTTCTCTCTGTGTACCTCTTTTTCATCTCACTCCCATTTTTTGTCCAGATGTCTTTTATGATGATCCTTGGACTGTTGTCATAAGACATCTGTCCTCTATATCTTCCCTGGTTTTTTTCCCCTTGCTCTTGATCTTGTCTGTTACTCCTTTTTCTTGTCTAGATCTTTCTCCCTCTCAATTTCCCATTATGGATTCCAGGCCTTCACATTTTTCTCATCTCCCCTCTACTGGTAGTCTAGTTCATCACTCCACTTACTTTCATACATGTACAATTCTTTGGGTACATATCTCTTCTCCTGCTATTGGTTTCATTTCCTGCTGACAATCAATTTCCATTTCTCAACCTTGGCCTCTTTTCTCACATCTTTTCTCTTCCCTCCATCCTCATCTACAATCTGTGGTTTCTATGGTTAGTGTGTCAAATACCTTCCAACACACCTTTTTCGGCCTGTCCTCTCTTTTGCTTTTGGAGACTCTGGCTTCTCTAATACCCCTCATTCCTTTGGAGAAAGCATAGTGTTTCTCCAACTATGGACTCTACACACCCATGGTTTTCATTTTTGGGGTCCATTTTCCTTTTGGTGGGCATCTACTGGGGGTATTTTCTTGGTAATTGGACTGTGCTCATACTACTTCCTGCACTCACCTACCTGCCTCTCACACAGAATCTCTCCCTCCTTCAACACTTCCCTCTCTGTTGAGGGCAGGACTTCTGATGTTTCATTGCTGGTCACATCAACAGACTTGATCCTCTATTCTTTGGGCATGTTATTATCCCTATTGATGGATCGCTTGGTCATGTTCCACTCAGTTTCTTACATGGTCATTTCTTGCACCAATCATCCACGAGGCTTCTATTCCAGGTCCCTTTGCATTTGAGTGTGAGACACACAACTCTGGGTCTATTCACATCAGGTTGATCTTGTCGCCTATTATTTGCTGAGAGCTTATATCTTGATGATGGACCACTTTCTCAACCAGTCTGCATTCTCTTGACAGAGTAGTTTCTCCATTTCAGGTCTTTTGTGGGATTTGCTCTTGGTTGGTCAAACCCTTTTTGGATAAATTTGCCACCCTTCACAACTCCAGGCTTCCTATCTTATGGCCCATTATTCCTCATCCTTCTGCACTTTTGAGTTTCTTAGCCTGGCCTAGTCTCACCATTTTCTATATGCCCATTCCCCTATTCGTTTAATCCTTCTGGCCTTCATCATTACACACTACTTTCTTTCTTTAGTCCTATTGTTTGTGCTTCTTTGCCTAACTTAACCTTTCCTGAATTTCTTCACTCTCTCTTGCTTCACATTCGCACATTCCTTCTTCATCGAGGGTTATCTTTCCTCCTCTGTGCAGATAGAACTTGCCCAATCTGTCACCCATCAGTCTGAATTTTTTGCTTTTGTATCACTCCTCTTGTCCTCCTTCTGCTGCCTTTTTCTATCAGTGAATGTGGGGATTTTCTTGTCATCCTGTGACCACCTTTCTGCCTTTTTTTTTCCTTTACTGTTCGTCATTGATGTGTCAGTCTTTACCTCTACTAATTGTTGGGAAGCCTTGTCCATGGTTTTTCTACTTTCCTGGTGCCATGGAGTGTTTTCTTTTCTGCTTGTTCTTTCTCTTCCATCCTCTTCACCCTGCTCCCATGCCTGTCTGAAATGTTAATGGTGCACCCCCATTCAAACCATTGGTGTCCTGTCTTTTGTACTATATCTTTATCCTGGCATAATTCCGCCTCATCTACTATTACCACTGTTCAGATGTCTATCCTGTAGGTGCTTCTTGCACCCTTTTGTACTGCACTTCTTTCTTTAATTGCTCAGGAGGTTGCTTATACTTCTTTTTTATCTCCCTTCTGTCTCTCATCTGTTGAACTTATATTGGCTTCCAGTGTGCTAATTCATGGACCTCCTTTTTTCCATGGACTCTTTTTCCTTCTCCCCTTACTGGCTGGGTCTGTTACCTCTCTTGATGGTATATTTGTTTTGCATGGGGAATGCTTGCAGACTATTTTGTATTTCTTTGCATTCAATTTGTCACCTTTCTCTTATATCTCTTCCTTTGGCCTTAGGATGAGCTCCTCCGGGCAGACATGTGGACACTCTCATATATGTTCTGGCTGTTTATCTCCTGTTGATTTTTTGCTTCCACAGGTCAACATTCTTCTATCATCCTACTGTCTTTGAGAATAATAAATACTATTTCTCTTTCAAAGCCCCTTTTGTGTTTTATAGGATCCTGCCAGGTGACTGGTGTTGCCTCCCAGAGTATACTTATTTCCCCAAATCAGCATTGAGCCAGCATATCGGAAAGTGCTTGTACCATCCACCCTGGTTCCATATATGCCCACTGTGAGATGGAGTGTTCCACAAGACCACTCATGGTATATATATATTCAATTTTTTGTCCAATCCAGACATTACCTATTCCGTGGACTGTCATGGAAAGAGCCAGGATTGGGGGTGTGTTTTGTCTGCTTCCATGGCTGGCATTTGCTAGATTTTCAAAATTGGATTTTGAAATCACCCATTGCACTATCTCCAG